TAAAGTGTTAGTGAACAGGCACTGAGGAGTTTTACAGTCAAGATCCACAAGAAAAAACCCAGAAAGAACAACATTTTGAGATGTTTCTCCAGGGACCAAGGCTAATTCAGGAAGATGGCTGACAGGGTGAGAAACTGGGCAGTGTTAGGTAGAATCCCTGGGTTAAGAGGATAAACTAGAGTTTAGAACTCTTAAAGAGGAGGGCTACAGTACTCTCACACTTCAGACTGGGACCTTAAAGGGCTATATGCTAGGAGTAAGGGTGAAAAGGCTAACAGAAAATAAACTAGCCTTGGTAAGAAAACCAGTTTCAAATCAGCTCAATCCTAATTGGATTAAATTAAACCTAGATTGCTAGTGACTAGCCATTTTGGTCAAAAATAAAAATCTCTGAAGGAAGACACTATTACTAGTCCTCAAATGACTTAAAACCATCTATATGTRACATCCATCTCCCATTAAAAAATAATTGGGCCTACATTATGATAAAATTATGTTTTTTTTAGAAGAGCAATATCAGATAATACAAAGAGCTCTATAGGGGATCTAGAAAATGGAGTTATTAGAGACTTTAAACAACTGTTTAATAAAAAAAAAATTGACAGTATTGGGATTTTTCAGCATAGAAACCATAAAGCCAGATCAAACGGATCTAAAACTAAACACTATATATACATACACACACACACACAACACTCCTCAAAACCAAACCTAACTCAAACAAAAAACCYCTCTGAAACATGAATTCAGTGACTAGCTTAATAGCCTACAAGGTATATCAAGAAATACAGGGTATATATATATGTAATTTGATTTAAAGGAGTAAAGAGAGAATAGACAGAAGCAATATTTGAAGGGACAATGGGTGAAACTTCTCTCAAATTAATGAAAAATATCAAAGTCAGATTTAAGCATCCCTACAAATACCACTCAGAATAATACAAAGAGAAACYATACCGAAACCCAATAAAGTATAATTGAAAACCCAAAACAGAAAATCTTGAAAGCTGCTGGGGGTGGGGTGGGGGAGCTGGGTTCTTTTTAAAGAAGCAAGAAAAAGCAGACAGAAAAGAAGGAAGCCAGGAAAAGTTCAGTTCCCTTGGTGACAATGTTGAGACAGCAGATCTCTATGCTTCTTGCTAGCCAAACAGTAAGTGTCTTTAATTGTTCAAAGCACAGTAAGAYATTGTTACTTTTAGCAGAAACTATTTCTGATATAAGTGTCTAATGGGAGAATAAATGGGGGAAAAACTGTGCCCAAACAATATTTAAAGATATAACTCATGAGAATTTTCCTGAATTAAAGAAAAACATGAATAAGATTAAACACTGTAGAGGAGGAAAAAATATGTCTATATATTATTACCCAATACAGCATAATAACGTCAGAGTTAGCATATAAAATCTTAAAAGCTACAATGGGGAAGATAATCTATCTATAAAAAAAAAATGACAAATTAGGAATACATTTCTCAGGCTGTAAAATTCTGAAATGAAACCAGAGTAGTACAAAGAAAGAATATTTCAATTTCACCTAGAAACATATATACAAAAGTCTTAAAATAACAGAATTCAGGACTGCATATAAAACAACAACTAATCAGAATTCATCCAAAAATGCAAGATAATTCAGTTTTAGAAAGTTAGTACAGTAAGCAATATTTTTATATTTTAAAAATGCATATAATCTTAACAGATACAGAAAAGCATTCATAAAATTTAATACTCTTCATAATAAAAATCTGAGTGGGGCTGGAGTAATGGCTCAGCGGTAGAGTGCTCGCCTCRCATGTGCAAGGCCCTGGGTTTGATCCTCAGCACCACATAAAAATAAATAAGTTATTGTGTACAAACTACAAAAAAATAAATATTAAAAAAAAATCTGAGTAAGGTAGTGAGAATTTAGACAGGGATCTATCAAAAACAAAATGTAACCATTCCAATGGAAGTCAGTACCAATACAACAATGCTGGCTAACTCTTGGTTTAGCTGTAAATACCAGAATCATTTATATGGAATGAGACAATTTCAACCAAACCATTAAAACGAATTAAAGAGTTTTGACATTATTCATATTTATACTGAAAAAATATCAAGCWGGGCTTGGTGGTACATGCCTGTAATCCCTGTGACTTGAGAGGTTGAGGCAGGAGTATTGAAAGTTCAAGGCCAGCCTCAGCAACTTAGAAAGATCCTGTGTATATATTTATAAAATAAAATAAATAAAAAGGGCTGGGGATGTAGCTTAGTGTAAAGTGCCCCTGGGTTCAATCCCCAATACCAAAAAAAAAGAAAAAAAATTTAGTATTCTGACACACTAGTTAATAACCAAATGGAAAGTATAAAAGAAAAGATCACATTACAACAACAACATATATACACACATATAAAATCTAGGAATAAAATATAAGAGAAAGGGCATCATGGAGATCTTTATGATAATTAATGAAGGCAAAAAAAAAGAACAAAATTCTCACCAACTGTACCTTACACACACAATAAAGGAGAGACTTATTTGATGTAYAAATTCAAGAAAACTTCCAGTAAGTCTTTTCATGAAGAGTAAGTGTAATTAAGGCAATTTTGAAGAACAGCAATGTGTGGAGCCTCTTGACATAAATACATATCAAAACTAGTTAGTTGCAGCAGGGCACACAGGTAGTCCCAGCTACTTGGGAGTCTGAGGAAGGAGAATGACTTAAGACCAGGAGCCTGGTGTGTATGTGCGTGTATGAAGCTCTAATTAGGGCAGTGTAGTGCTAGCAAAAGAACAAATAGATCACTAGAACAAGTAAGATAGTTTCCCCCAAAGAACTACACATTTAAGAAAACCTGGTATGAGACAGATGGCATTATAAACTAAGATGGAATATATCCAGTAAATAATGCTGGGGTGATTAGTTATGCACATAGGAAAAAAAAAAACAGATTTCGTACTTTACACTGATTTCTGTACATCAAAGCCAGTTCTAGGTGGATTAAAGATCAGAATGTGAAAATCAGAACGTTTCAAAGAAAATATAGAGAAAAGTTTCCTAATCTAGGTAGAAGTGGTTTATTTATGACAAAACACAAACAATATGACAATTTGGGCTATATTAAAATTAAAAATCTGTACAAAAGTAAGCACAAATATAAAGACAAGCCACAGACTGAAAGATTAGCAAAACACAATGATGTACTCTCACAAACTGATAAACAAAGACAACATAAAAAATAAAATGAAAAAATACATTCATTAAAAAAATATTTTAAAAAATATTACTGCTTAGTATGTTTTTAAGCTTTAGATGATAATATGTACACATATATATGAAATAAAATGAACCTAAGTACTAAAGTTTAAAAACATTTTCCGATACACTAAACACAAAATAGAGACAATAGTTACTATTGAAAAGAAGAATGGCATAGTTTATCTTTTATTTTTAAAAGATCTGGTAGGGCTGGGGTTGTGGCTGCGTGAAGCACCACATAAAATAAACAAATAAAATAAAGGTATTGTGTCCATCTACAACTAAAAAAATATTTTAAAAAATCTGGCAAATATTATCACTTCTCAAGGCTGGGTGGTGAATACACAAGCATTACCTTACACCTGACCAGTCTGTGTTTTTTAAAACATTTCATATTAAAGAAAAAGGGGAAATCGTTAATTTTATATCAACAGAACYTTAACATGCAAAAATGAAACCTGTATCTTCCAACAAGCAGTCTAAATGAGAAAAAAGAATCACTCATTAAAAAGATGGTAAAAGTGTTGACCTTACTTAACAGAAATAATTAAAGCTATTACTTGTTATGCATCTATCATTAAGTAGTTATTGTATTCAAGCACTTCAGAGTGTAAATAAAAGATTACAAGATTTCAGAACACAGAATAAATACATTTCAATACATTAGGGATTTGTATGAGTTAGGACAACCTACAAGAGTATACAGGAATCACGCCACTCGAATTAAGATGTCCATTTATCCAGCAGAAAAAAAAATATGATCGTGAAACTTCTAATTCTGTATGTTTCAACCTTTTAAAAGTTGCAGACCGATTTGGTGTTGACTAAAAACAAAACAAAAACCTATAGGCCCTAGAAAAATACCTTTCTGTACAGAAAGGCCACTCCCAGACCATCCACAGATTTAGAATTCCTGCTTTAGAGTCTGTCTCCAAATCTCAGTTCGAAACATTAGCTGAGTTACGCTGGAAAAGAACGCCAAGTTGGATTCCAGTTGCGTAAAAGTGACCTTTTGGGCTTTCACCAACTTCTCCTGAGGTTGTAAATAGCTTTTCACTAATGACTTTTGCTCTCTATCGATGCGGGGGCTGCGCAAACGCGGCTCTCAACTGCTACAGTACCAAAGTCTGACGCTTTAAAGGGGGTCAAGCAGTATTGCCCAGTCCTGCAAAAACAAAAAGGCAGGAAGCCGCCCCCTTTTCTTACAAGCTACGGCACCCAGCGAGACGCCGAAGAGCTCTAGGGAAAACGTTGCTGTCGGATAGGAAACAGCTGTCAGACCTCGAAACCCTCTCCGGAGGCGCCCCGGTCCTAACTCTACCCCTCTACCCTCCCAAAGTAGGAGGCCGGGAGAAGGCGGGGGGAGGTATCTCCCCCTAATAACGGCCTCAACTGCCGCCAGCCCAATCCTCGCTCCGGCCCACCAAGCTCGATCCCGAAAGAGTCCCACACTCACTGGAAAGTGGGGCCGGGTCCCGGTCCCGGCCCAGCTCCTGGAATTCGGCGGGTCTCCCAGGGTTTCGGGGGAGGGGGAGGCTGAGACGCCATCTCTCCGCCTCCGCTCAGCTCCCGCTCSGCACCGGGACTGTGCAGGCCCGGGTACACCAGCACCTCGAGCGTCAGGCATTATAGGCAGAAAGCCGAACTCTCCGCCCCGCCCACTCCTGCAAGTCAGAGCAGGCTCGTGGTACTTCGCCAGGTGCGACTAGAGGGCAGGMGGATACCACTAATTCATCGGAAGAAACACCATCTTCTTGTTTACCCTAGAAAGAGTTTCTGTTCTAAAATTGAGGAGTAAGTGTTCATCGATATTTCTGGTAGCGGCTACACTGTTCTAGATGCAAAGTCCCACGAAAGCTTCTCTGGGACTGGGCCTCTCCCGCTGGATGTGTTGTCCCACGCACTTTTACAGTAGTGAGGGAGGCAGGGTGTGAGGCTGTAAGCCAGCAGTGTTGCAGATTTCCCTATTAACAAACGGGGGAGAAGTTCACTCATTCTTCTCCAGAGAGGCCTGGTACTTTCGTTCTAAAGCTCTGGTTTCCTCGGGGAACAGAATTGCTAAAGCGCAATAGGTGCGTTGTCTTTAGTCTTCCCGGTTCCCTCTGAGGGCCGGAAGGGGTTAAATATTAGGCTCCGGGATCTTGGGAGAAGGTAAGGCGGGGAGGTCTGAGGTGAGGGGCTGCGGACCCCGTGCTAGAGAGGTGTCCCTAGAAGGGCTCGTTTCCCTACCGCTGGAGTGGCTTTATTGGGAAGGGTGAATGCGAAGTTTCTTGGACCTGAGCGAAGAGGGTAAGGGCTTACTTGGCCAAAACAGACTCCAGGACCGTGGGGGTGAAATTTCCAGCATCCCAAGTTAGAGTCCATAGCTGAGTTTGTCTGCTGCTCACTGAAGTCTTCAGCACCTCCTTCCCTAGAAATCCGCATCCCCACACCATCGAGGAGTGACATTCGTGTGTRTGGAAGCTAATTTTAAAAGATCTCGCGGTGTAAGACAGGTCTGATCATTTTAGTAGGTTTTCTCATACCCTGTTCCTTCCCTCCTGTTCGGWAAAAGGTTTTTGTAATCGTCCAAGAGATGAGAAGAAAGTCGTTCCTCTTTATTAAATTAGAGACTGGTCTGGTTATGGTTGGCTGGTGGAGAAGGGATTCTGACACGTGGGAGGCGGTTCTGTTGCAACTTGTTCCAGAGGGGGTTCCCCCCTCCCTTTCCCTTTCCCTGTAAAACAAATAGGTAAACAAAAAGCAAGAATCCTAACAASTGCAACTAATACTGGAAAACTTTCAGCGTGAGACGCTTTCTTCCGGGCTTGTTTTCAAAGATAATCTAATATAGCACAACTGATGTCTTGTGAAATCCTATCATTTCATTATATTAAGAAGAAATAACCAAATTTAAGGCATATTTCCTTCTTTTAATGGGCTCCAGAAGTCGCTAAATATTGCTAGATGAGAATGGTGTTAAGAGGTTTGTAAATCATAGCTTAATTATTAACATATACTCGAGTTTTTTTCTTGAGCGTTTTTAGACTTCAAATTATTCAGGACAGGAGGTTTTGTAATTCTAAACAGGTTTGGGAACTTCTAGARCCAGGTGATCGTAGTGTGTCATTTGCTGACAGCATGATACCTTTATTCTAAGTGAACTTATTGGAGAAATAACATTYAGTCTTTGAGCCAAGAGGAGAGAGAAAAAAATCTGAATGTAGCTATGTGAGTGCCCAAGAAAAGCTTCAGTAGGTCGTGTCTTTATAAAGCACCTATTGAAGAAAATGTATTTGTTTCTCTTTTTGAATTTATTATTTTAATGGAAAAGAGGAGAAAAAAAATAATGGGTTAGACAGAAACAATTTCTCTGTGAGGGTAGCCCGAGGGATGCACTTTAAATGTTTATATTCAGGCCCTCACAGAATCCCAGTCCCTTCTTAGCATCAAACAGACTCAGTGGGCTGGGGTAAGGGATTCTGATCCTTGTAAAGAATATTGATTTAACTACACAGTTTCTTTTTTTTAAATTTGATTTTTATTTTTAGGTGGATACAATATCTTTATTTTATTTGTTTTTATGTGGTGCTGAGGATTGAACCCAGTGCCTCCAACCCAGTGCCTCATACATGCGAGGCCAGTACTCTACCATTTGAGCCACAACCCCAACCCCCACAGTTTCATTTTTTTAAGAGGCTGTTCTCCCCACATTTGAAGTACTTTCTTAAAAGTACCCTGGAGCTCAGATTTACTTAGGTAACCCTGAATAAGTATTTACCAGTCCTGATGTCTGAAAGTTTTCAATCATGTGTCCAGACAAGCTTGTCTTCTTCCTGATAACTCACACATTCATGAGTTAGAACCTATACAGAAGCAATCTGTTTTTTGTAATGTGGCTGCTGAACTGCTTTTTATAGTGAAGAGAGCTTCAGAATTATATAACTGTTTCCCTTGTTATTTTAAGTTAAGAATCAACTTCTCTTGATAGTAGCCACAAACATTTAGAAACTTGTAAGTAAGTAGTGAGTTTTAAAGGGTTGTAAAGCACACTAATTATAAGTCTTGTATCTCCATGGTATGCTGTTGGTAAGTACTTCATTCTCCTACATATTTTTATCAAGTTTATTTGACCTACAAAATTATACAAATCGAAAGGTACTGTGGTCTTATCTAAATGACCGTAATTATACCATTTCACATTGCCATAAATTCATTATATCATAAAATATCACTAGTTCATGGGCTGGGAATATAGCGCAGTGGTAGAGCACTTGCATGGTATGTACAAAGCCCTGCGTTCAATCCCCAATACTGTATGTGGATTGAATCCAGGGGTGCTTTACTACTGAGCTGCAATCTAGGTTCTTTTTATTATTATTTTTATTTTGAGACAGTCTTGCTAAATTGCTGAGGCTGGCTTCAAACTTGGGATCTTCCTACCTCGGCCTCCCAAATCCCTGAGATTACAGGTGTGTGTGACCATGCCCTGCTAACTAGTTCATCATTTTAAAAGTGATATAGTCTGATTTACTAATCATATTTATTTTTACCAAACATACAGTGATTAGGTAATTTTGAATTTTTGGTACCCTGCCTTCCTTGCAACAAGAGGTTTATATTAGATTTTTTCCCCATTCTTTATGTAGTTTATGAGTTTATTCATGTTGCAAAAATTGGCAACAGTTTAGGCAAATAATTACTCTCAAATATTTTTTGAGATTTATTTTTGTTGGAGGTTTTACTCATGGATGAAAGGAGGAATTTGTTTTCATTTTGCTGACCACTAGTTGACATTTAGCTGTTATAGCATCAAAATAAAGTTGATGTTTTTGGACATCCTGATCAATTTGTCTTAATACTTGATTGCTAAACTATCATTAAGGCTAGCCAAATATATATATAATGTAGACTGATCTGAATTTTTTCCTAGCAAACTCATTTTTAATTTAAAAGTTTAATGAATTAGCTACTTTGTTCTCAAATAGTACTGAGTGGTACATGCCTGTAATCCCAGCGACTCAGGAGGCTGAGGCAAGAGGATCTAAAGTCAGAGGCTAGCCTTGGTAACTTGGTGATACTTTGTCTCAAAATAAAAAGAGTGGTGGTGGTGGGGCATGTAGCTCAGTGGTAGAGTGCTTGCCTAGCATGCACCAGGACCTGAGTTCAATCCCTAGAACCAGTAAAAAAAAAAAAAAAAAAAAAGGGAAACAGTTATTCTTAGTTTTTTTTGATTGACGTGCTTATAATGACACACTTTATCATAATCCAGAATGCTAACCCAAATTTCTTGACAATTAGAAACATATTTTATCCTTTTTTTTTTTTTTTTTTCATGGGGTCTTGCTATATTTCCCAGGCTGGCCTTGAACTCACGAACTCAACGGATCCTCCTTTTTTCAGCCTTTACAGTAGCTGGGACTAGGCAAGAGCCATCACATTGGGCTTCTTGCCATCTTACAAATTTCCTTCAAGTTAGTATTTTAGAATTTACATATAATGAAAAGGGAGAGCATAAAACACATAAAAAATAGTTTTAATTTCTAAGGGTGATAGCATACTTGTCTGTGACAGTAAAATACTGAAACTGCTCATTATTTTTTCTTTTCTTTCTTTCCAGTTATAATTCAGCATGTTTCCACTGACTGAGGAAAATAAGCATGTGGCTCAGTTGTTGTTCAGTACTGGCACCTGTCCAAGATGTATCTTCAGATTCTGTGGTGTGGATTTTCATGCACCATACAAACATTCATATGAGGTATTTCCATTTTTTTTAAGATAAGAAAGATTTTCTGTATTTTAAAAGGAATGCTGATACCTTTGAGGGAAAGTATCTATAATTCTTCATTAAATAAAAATTTGCTAATAAAACAATGACTGATAATTATAATTTTGGACTTGTTATTACCTTAAAAATTAGTCTAGGATTTTTTTCTTAAGCAATTATAGGAATTTTTGTTCCCTAGGAATTGCTTCTTGAGTGATTATGTAACATTTAATGTAGAGGGATCTTTGTGGAGGAATACTCTGGTACACTGAGTGTTTATGTACACCTTTCCTAAAAGTTATCTCAATATAATATTACAAAATATTGCTTCTCACCAGGTATTAGTAAGATGTGACATGAAAGGATTGTAGTTCAGACTTCTCTTAAGTGGAAGCATTTTTTTTTTTTTTTTACCTTTTATCTATATTTCCAGTCATATTTCTAAATAGCTGAAATCTTATATTGCCTAACAAAGGGGATGCATTCTGAGAGATGTGACCTTAGGTGATTTTGTGCTTGTACAAATATTTAGAGTATACTCTTACAAACTAAGATGGCTATGATATCACTAGGCAACACAGTCTTCAGGGACAATCATTTGTATATGCAATCCTTTGTTGATGGAAACATTGTATGGTGTATGACTRTATTCGAACACTATAGAAGTAAATGCTTGTTGTCATCATTATTCTATTAATTACAGCAAAAGTAATGTGTAGAGATCTTTGACATTTATGGTAATAAGCAGAACTTTGTCATTTAATGGGATACTTTCACATAAAATATGTTTGTGAAATATGTTTGACGAATATATTTTGACATTCTTTTCAGAGATAGTAACAGTATGTGTGTAAATATACACACACACTCATATACATACATCCTCAGTTTCTTAAAATTTAAAAACCTGTCCAGCAATTAACAATCACCTTCATTTTTCTTCTATAATTTGTTGTTCCTATTATTTTAGAAAATATAATGCTCATTATTCACTTAGCATTACTATATATCAAGTTCTTATGTAATCCCAGTAATAACTTATTAGGTAAGTACATACTATGATTGTCTCTATTTTCAGATGAAGAAACTGAGGCACAGAGAGGTTAAACAACCTATCCAAAGTTACACAGCTATTAAGTGAGCAAGCTAGGATTTGAACAGTCTGTCAGAGTCCAAAGCCTAGGATTTGGAGCTAGAAGAAATGGATTTGAATCCCAGTTCCACTGCTTTCCAGCTTCACTTTACTCTTCTGTAAATGGGAATGATGATAACATCTACCTCACAGGATATTAAGGGACAATATCTAATAAAGTATGTGAAAAAACTTTGAAAACTGAAAGTGGCACATATTCTGTGATGATCAATATATATGTATATATTCATTTATATACAAGGTGACTGGTTTTGGGTAACCTTCTGTATACATTTTTTTCAGACACATTATACATGTCATAAGATTCACAATGTATATTATATGAAGATACTAAGTGTTGCCAACTTTTGCTCATATCATTTTATGTAAATAAATATACAAAACATTTAAAAACTATTTTTAAGTGTTTTWAAATTTTGATTTGTTACATTCATAGGTATATAGGYCTGTGTACATATACATGTACTGTGTTATGCTGACATTACAGATAGTAAGTAATAAACATTTTTGTGGGTCATAATATACTTATGTGTACTGTATATATGAGTATTTCCATGTTGAAATAGAAYAACTAATGTTGCAATGAAATTAATTAATTTGAAAGATTTTTCCCTTTAGAGTCAGTAGTGTAATCTGAATGAATTTCAGAGAGATATTTCTTCAACAACTAAATAATAAAACCTAATGAAGAAATAGTAAACATTCTCTGACTATTTGCATGAGTAGACTATCTGAAGTATGAGAATATTTTAAAAGGAATGCTAGTTTTTACATTCTAATACACGAAATTAAGCAGACCAGAATATAGAGAGGGTTTCTTTCAATTAATGTTTACATATGGTTTGAAATTATGGTGCCTAATTTCAGCACTGCCAGCATCTCTGTCCTTTGTTAGTAAATTGTCTCAAAATTGTTCTTCTTTTTTTTTAATTAGTAGACTTCTATGTCTAAATGATAAAATTTCATATTAAACAAATATTGTACTTTTCATGTTTGTGAGATTATGGAAGATGGAAACTCACTTTGTATTTTCTTCTTTTTATTTGAAGATGAAATGTTGGTATTCAAACCTAGGGCCTTCTACATGCTGAGGAGGTACTCTACCACTCAGCTACATCCCCAGCTCTGTTTGTATTTTTATATAATATTAATAATTAGAATTCAAGTTTGTTTTTACTGTGAATACTCTTACAAGAAAGAACTACTGATCAAATTAGTAAATTTGTTAATGGAGCCTTTTTGCCTAAGATTTAGGGTTTTAGGTTAACTGATATATGGGACTCTTGATATTTACCCATATAAATATATAAATTATATATAAGTTTCTCTTAAATTCCCTAGAAAGCCAATGCTGGTTAATAAAATGATTGCTCTAGAATTGATGTAAATCAACAGTGTACAATCTATGTACACTGCTATAATTTGATCTATATAACTTGATCTGCTATAATTTTTACTTATGTTTTCTTGCTTCATCTTATCCAGAACTCCTTAAGGACATCATAAAAGGGTCATTCCTTTATTTTATTTTATTTACTTTTCAGGAGTTGCTTAATGATATACAGAAATTTCTGAAAGCTGAAAAAGATGAATTAATTTTGGAAGTTCCAAACCCACCTCTCAAGAAAATTCGGCTTCAAGAACTGGAAGATGGGATTGATAATCTGAGTCAAAATGGGGAGAGCAAGATCTCTGTTATTGAAGATGGGAGCATTGCTTCCCCAAACTCAAATTTAAATGTAAATGTATGCAATGTTTGCCTAGGAATTCTTCAAGAATTCTGTGAGAAAGAGTTCATTAAAAAGGTAAATAATTTGTTTCTTATTATAGGGATAATTATGTAGATTTTCAGTTTTAAGGCTTAAATTCTTTTTTTTTTTTTTTTTAGTTGGACACAATATCTTTATTTTATTTATTGTTATGTGGTGCTGAGGATTGAACCCAGTGCCTCGAATGTGCTAGGCGAGTGCGCTACCACTGAGCCACAACCCCAGCCCCTAAGCTTAGAATTCTTGTATGGAAAGGAATGGTGCTATTCATTTTAACTTGTTTCACATGAATGAACCAGTAAAATATTTAAAAAAAATTTTTTTTTGAAGAGCTACTATACTTGCTGGTGTAGGCCTGTAATCCCTTGTCTTTTGGGAGGCTGAGGCAGGAAAATTGCAAGTTCAAAGCCAGCCTCAGCAACTTAGCCAAGCCCTAAGCTACTTAGTGAGACCCTATCTCAAAATAATAAAAAGAGCTGAGGATGTGGCTCAGTGGGTAAGCATCCTGGGTTCAATTCCTGGTATTAAAATAGAAAAAGAAAAGCCTGTTATTCTGACATTCCTTTGTATCAACATATTTGAAAATTAATGGAATTTATATCCTTATTTTCAGTCATTAGTGATATTCAATTGAAGAAAAATATAGCATTTTGTTTTCCATTGCTTTTAACATCGCTCAGGAGTTGGAGAAAAGTTCTTTCTTAGTCATAGCTAACATTACCTAGAAAAAACAAGTGTTACAGCCTTGAAAATGATTAATTACTGGATGTGGGGTTGCCTTTTGTTTCTTTTTTTTTTTTTTAAGAGAGAGAGAGAGAGAGAGAGAGAGAGAGAGAGAGAGAGAGAATTTTTTTTTAATATTTATTTTTTAGTTTTTGGCTGACACAACATCTTTGTATGTGGTGCTGAGGATCGAACCCGGGCCGCACGCATGCCAGGCAAGCGCGCTACCCCTTAAGCCACATCCCCAGCCCTGCCTTTTGTTTCTTGCTGTCAAGAGCACTATAGTTGGCTTTATTTTATTTGAAAATATTTTAAAATTATGAGATGACCTAACAGAAAACTATTTTGACATTCATTGGATTGTTCTGCAGGTGTCACTCCTGGCTGTTTTGGTACTTTATGACACTTATCTTCAGGGTGATAGCCAATATTTAATTTCAGAAGGTTTATAAGAGTTTCCCTGTGTGTGTGTGTGTGTGTGTGTGTGTGTGTGTGTGTGAGAGAGAGAGAGAGAGAGAGAAAGAGAGAAAGAGATGTATGTTTTCTTTTGTGGTGCTAAGCATTTAACCAGGCCCTGGTGCATGCTAGGCAAGGTCCTCTACCACTCAGCCTAAATCCCCAGCCCCAAAGTGTGAGTTTTGAAGTTTTGCAGTGTCTTTTCCTGGACTAGAAATTCATGTTATGAAGTTCAAAATTTTTAGCCATTCTTGGGAATTTACATAAATGTAATACTTTTTTAGGTGTGTCAAAAGGTTGAGGCCTCTGGGTTTGAATTCACAAACTTGGTATTTTCAGTCTCCTTTCCACCACAGCTCTCTGTAAGAGAGGTAAGTTCTTTTTCATACATAAAACTACACGTAAAATGCATGCTAGGAATTTCTTAAAATAGGAATGTGAAAATATTCCTTACCCTATTATGTTTAACAAATTTTGTGTACTTCTTGAATGATTAAAAGATTTTATACTTGTTGAGTAGATAAATAAAAAAGAATTTATTGATTTAATTTAGTTTATTAATGCCAAGACTGCTTTTTTTTTTTTTTTTTTTTTAAAGCTGAGGATAGAACCCAGGGCCTTATGCATGCTAAGCACATGCTCTATCACAGAGCTACACACACAGCCCCGGTGCTTTATATTTTTAAAGATCCTTATTCAATAATAAATATTTATTGAGCATTAAGTTTGTGTGAGGCAAAATAGAGAAAGACATTTGACCCTGGACTCCAGAGATTCTTTAAGGTAGATATACGAATGTTATAATATTCTTAGGGTAAGGGTCATTTCAATTATGATGAATTTTCTTATTCTYTGGAGTCTAAAAATATAAAAAGGTAGCACCTCATATAATCATTGATAAAAAGGAGAAAAATAGCTTCATATGTAAACTTTTTTCTTTGTTAGCAAAAAACCTGTCTTTGTTAATACTATTAAATATTGTGTAAAGATTTCTGTAATGAGTTTCTAAACATACCCATTTATATTTTTGAAGTGTCTTTCCCTAAGAATCCCAAAGTGTCACCAAAATATTACATCTTATACTATATCACTTTCTTTGAGCATGTTTGTTAGTCACAAAAAGGCCAAAGATTAAATTAAGACTTATTTAGGATGGATAGAATGATAAGAGCTGGGAAGTGAGAAAGAAGAGAATAATTTTAAGTAGTATATCTTGATGACAAGATAACTTAGCAAATGGAAGAACAAAGGGGTTGATGACGATTTCCTGAGGTTTATAAACAGAATTATTTTCTTGCCAGTCGTTAAAGTATTTCTCAGTGATAGACAACTCAGGTCCAATTTTGGTAGAGAGARACAGACTTCCAAAAGCAAAGTGACTCACAAAAGTTGCAGTGTTTGCATAACAAAAATAGGAATATGAAGTATATTTTCCATATGTGGTTATGTATTTTAGTACAAAATATAAACTTCTTAAGGTTTATATTTCTACATGAAAATCATGGTTATCCATTTATCATTTGAACAATATTAATTTAATATTTATCAAATACTTGTGAGGTATTTATATTTCATATTAAAAATAGAAGATGATGCTGGGCTGGGGTTGTGGCTCAGCAGTAGAGTGCTTGCTTAGGGCATGAGACGCCCTGGGTTCAATCCTCAGCACCATATTAAAATAAAGGTATTGTGTCCAACTACAATTAAAAAATAAATATTAAAAAAAATAGAAGATGCTGTCCTTAAAAAACAGAATTATTCTGCTTACTTTTTGTAACTGATTTTAGCCAATAAACTGTTTAGCAGAAACCTGACTGTTCCATTTATTGGAGAATTAATATGTTTCTATAACTTTGTGTGAAGTGTTTTCATTTCTGTTCCTAGGTAACATTTTATCTATTGGTTTAAGAATAACCATTATTTCGAAGTATAAGGCTTTAAATGCAATGTACTCTTTTGTGTCTCATATTTCTTCAGAAAATTATGTTTCATGGTTCATTTTGAATTTTCTTTTATTATAATATGTTGTTACTGGATTTTTTGGGTTGTATCAGGGATTAAACTCAGGGGCACTCAACCCCTGAGCTATATCCCTGGCCCTACTTTGTATTTTATTTAGAGACAGGGTCTCACTGGCTTTGAACTCTTGATCCTCCTGCCTTAGACTCCTGAGCCACTGGAATTATGGGCATGCACCACCTGGCCTGGCTGTTATTTTCTTCTCTTGCCATCTTTTATACTTCTTTGGAGTTCAGATATGCTGTGCAAGCCAGACTTAAAATAAATTACTCTTTAAAATATATATATATTTTTTGAGTACTGGGAATTGAACTCAGGTGCACTCAACCACTGAGCCCCATCCCAGCCCTATTTTGTATTTTTATTTAGAGACAGGATCTCACTGAGCTGCTAAGCACCTTGCTTTTACTGAGACTGGCTTTGAACTTTCCATCTTTCTGCYCCAGTTTCCCGAGCTCCTGGCTTTTTAAACTATTTTTTACATATCCCAATTTAATTATTCATGTCCTCAGAATAGTCTTGCATTTTGAATATAAATTCTGTGACTTCTTTAGTGCTTTATTCTATATTATGGCTTTGAGCTTAGATCTTTTAAATATTTTAACTTAGAACTTGCTTGTCTATATAGAATAAACATGTCAATATACATGAAATTGATTGGTGCGGTTATCTCATCATTCAGTGTGGAATATACAATTGAGTCAATTTAAAGATTTAATTTTTTTCCATTTCTAAGAACTAAATTATGATCACTGATATATTGATTTGAAAGCAAATATTTTATCAATATGGTGGTATTTATTTTATTTCTGCTTACAGAAGGATCAAGGAAAGGAGTGACCTCAAGTAAAATATTTTTTTTATTTTTATTTTTTAAAGAGAGAGTGAGAGAGAGTGAGAGAGAGAGAGAGAGAATTTTTTAATTTTTTTTTTTTTTTTAGTTTTTGGTGGACGTAACATCTTTGTATGTGGTGCTGAGGACTGAACCTTGGCCGCACACATGCCAGGCGAGCGCACTACCGCTTGAGCCACATCCCCAGCCCCAAGTAAAATATTTTTAAAATATAAAACTCTTAACAATCCTATTTCTGATTATAAGCCATAGTTTTTATTTATCTTCATTTAAACATTAATTTAAAAGTTTAAGGAAAAAGACAGCAGTTAGTGTAATTATCATTTTTTCACTGAGTTTGGAAGAATATGGAAGGAGATTTAGAGTACATCTCCTCAAAGTGTTTTCTCAGGAATAAGCGATGTGGTCAGGACAGCTTTAAACTGAAAACTGCTTAAGAGGAGAAAAATAAGCAAATTATTTGATGAAACACTATAAGACAGCAAGTAAGCCATGGTAAGCAAAATAAACAGAGGCAGTATTTAGAGGTCACAGAATACAACAGTGTGGAAAGTATCCGGACCTCATGCTTAGTCTCCAAAGTTTATAATGGCACACAAAATTTAAATGATAAAGTTGAAATTATAATGGAGAAAAAGCAGATATCTCATGACTGTCATGGTAACTTTCTGGGTTTGAGCTAACTTTTTGAATGTGACAGTGGAAGGATAAGTCTTTATAAGGCCCATATTTGTGAGAAGGAAAGCTGTAATATATGATGTGGCAAGAAGTTATATACCTACGTTAAGATGTATGATAAGAGTGAAATGTTGCTGAACATTATCAAATGGAGATTAAAAGGAGAGAGAAACAAGGATGAGTAGAGGAGTAGATTTCCTTAAAATCCCTCTTTCCGCGGTGTGCACACCTGTAATCCTAGTGGTTCAGGAGGCTGAGGGAGGAGGATTGAGAGTTCAAAGCCAGCCTCAGCAAAAGCAAAACATTTAACAACTTGGTGAGACCCTGTCTCCAAAGAAAATACAAAATAGGGCTAGAGATGTGGCTCAGTTGTTGAGTGCCATTGAGATCAATTCCCAGCACCCCTTCCCCCAATAAATTCTCTCTTTCTTTGTTGGGATAGAATCGAGAGGGAAATAATTTTTATTTATAAGGAATTATACAGAAACTATTCTGTAGAGATATATGTTAAGTTTTTTGAACTCCAAAATCCTATGTAGAAAAAAACCTATAATTTTTTTTGTTACCTTGTGTACTCATGGTTGATTTCCCTAAACTTCTACATCATAGCACAACACAAAAATTACTATAGAATGAATGTCACAGACTTATGCTAATATTAGGCTAAATTCACATTTGTGGGAAATGCTTTAGAGACTTAATTCTTACTAGTTAAATCCAGTAGAGGGCAATATTGTACTATCAGTTTGGTTTATTGGCCTTTCATGGGTAGCCTGTGGGAAATATTTTGCTCAGACTAATGACTTTAAATGGATGTACTGTCTCTTAGATGTTGCTTATATGAAACACCCTGCTTCTCAGTATGCAATATGATATGGTTGGAGTTTTAGTTGTCAAATCCAAACTTTTCTTCTTTCATTTATTATAATTTTATATATCCATGTTTTGCACTAAGTACTACAAATTATACAAAGCCCTAGAAAAGTAGCTAAGAATATAAATAGTATCATTTCTGTTGTAACCTTTTTAAAAAAAATATTTATTTTTTAGAAGTAGTTGGACACAATACCTTTATTTTATTTATTTTTATGTGATGCTGAGGATCGAACCCAGGGCCTTGCACGTGTAGACGAGTGCTCTACTGCTGAGCCACAACCCCAACCCTTGTGGTAACATTTTTTACTTAAGAAATTATCTTTAAAATTTCTGACGAATGAGTACTCAAAAAACTTGGATTAAATCTGTAGGTTCTTAACCAGTTTGGGATCATTGATCTCATTTAGAATCTGAATAAAGTGATGAATTTGCTTGTCCTAAGAATATACATATGCAAAATTTTGCATGTACTTAGAGATCTCTTGAATTTACAGCCATTAATTTTAGATTTTTTTTCATAATTGAATATTCCAGTAAAATTTGTCCTGTTATAAATTGATGGACTTATTTTTTCTAAAGGACTTTTTTCTGTTTTTATTCCATTGATCAGAATTTGACTAGAAATAGAGCAACACATTTGAGTTTATGTTTTATGAAGACTGAGCTACCTGTCTTCATTCATTAACCCAACGCTTTGATTTGGTATGTGTGTTTTTTCTCCATATCCTTGGATCCTCAATTTTTATTTTGCTTGATAGGCACCCTTCTTAAGTCTGTGGCTCTCACTTGCCATTTAAGACCAATCCACATTCTTTTCATTGTATAAGCCTTTTCTGAGCTAGTTACTAAGGAGTTTTCAGAATTTATACCTCTATGTTTGGTTGGATTATTTGTCTAGAACTTACTTTAATTTTTATATGGCCCATTTATCCATGCAAAGCATTT